GCCGACACTGGGGAGATGGGGCAGAGGCCTGGTGCTGGCCTCGCTGGCCGGGCCCCTGTGTCGGGAAGTGCGTTTGTCCTGGACCGAGTAGAAACTGTAGAGAAGCCGAAAGGAGCAGTGTAAGTTAAGCAGCCCTCTGCCGGGGGTTCGGCACTGAGGGGTTTGCTGCTTTTTAGCCTCAGCGTGACGCACACGCTGCGCGGACAGGGTGGGGAGTGTCCTTCGGCTCTCGCCGACTGGCCGCACCGACGGCGTCACTGACACCCCGCACTCGAATGGCCTCTGCAGCTCGGCGTGTCCCACGCTCCGCCTTACTCCTGGGCTGTTTATCTAATACCGAATTCTGTGGACCACCCTGCTGTCACACAGGCCGTCGTGAAGAACCCCACTGTCACTCTCCATCCCTCTGAGGGCGACACTCCCCCCCAGCCAGACGACAGGGAAGTGGGGGCGCGGCCACCGTTAGCTTAAATTTCATTTCACTACCAGTTTACTGAACTTGCAACTGCTGACACATGTCATCCCGAAACTGTTCTAGAAGAACGGTCGTCACTCGGGGAGAGGTTCCCATGGGTGGTGAAGATGCGTTCTGAGCACCATAATGCCACTTGCAAACAAGGTGATTCTTGGGCACGACTGACTCAGCCTCCTGGCAGGGCTGGAGGTGGCTTCCCGCGGCCCAGCCACGGAGCAGCTTCCTCCCCAGCTGGGCACGTGCCGCGCGGGTCTTTCCGTCTCCAGCTGCCGAGGCCCCGCGGGCCTGTGGCCCCCTCGGCTGCTCGCTGTCTGTGTCCCTGGCCCAGGCTCGCAGCCCCTGGGGCTCTGGCTCCCGCCCGGGGGGGCCCGTGGTGACCCCGGGCTTGGCCTAGCCTTTGGCGCAAGAAGCTCCGTTGGGCGTCGGGGGCACAGCCAGGCTCTGCGGGGCTGGGTGCCGCCCGGGGCCCCGGGCTCCTGCACGAGGCCGTCGCAGCCGGCTCGGGCTCCGGAGGCCAGCGTGCGTGGGTCCCTCGGCCGTGCTGGGCGGTGAGGAGAGCCCAGGTTGCAGTCGGGGCGGGCCGGGCCGGGCAGGGCCTGCACCTGCACCTCGCTGCTCTGTGGTGGGGTGCTGCAGCTGCCCTCCCCGAGCCTGGGCCTCCCCGCCTGGGTGGGGCTCGCCACCCTTGGCCGCAGGCCCCTGGGGGCGCCCGGCGGGCGGTCCCGTGCCGCTGGGAGTCGTTGCTGCCTGGAGGGTGACGCCTGTCCTGTCTGACCGGGACCACAGCTTTCTCGCTGTTCCTGCTCACGAGTAGAAGCGGATTAGAAACCTGCCGCCCTGCCGGCCCTGGAGGCGGCCTGTGCCTTACTTTTGTTTTTCTCTTGCCGACCGGATTCTGAGATCTATGTCAGATTTATCTGGGCTCGTCTGAGGCCCCCAGCACAGCCTGTTACCGGCAAGGACTTTCGGGGGGAGTTCAGACGAGTCCACCTGGCAGCAGCCCCAGCCCACGCGCCCGTGGCCATCTGAGGTACCAGCAGGCTCCTCCTCGCTGGTGGTCTTCTGCCAGGACTCGGGGTCCTGGCCAGGAGCGGGGGTGTGCCGAGACGGGCTGCGACGCGGGCCGCCCGCTGCTGGCCCTGCTGGCCGGCAGGCCGGCCCCGCCTCTAAAATGAGGAGGCTTTCTGGGTGAAGGGAGGGGCTGTGGGTTTTCCGGGGAGGCAGTGTGGCGTGTGGGGGAGCGCTCTGGGGTCCCGGGGCCCGGGGGTCGGGGGCTGACCTGCTCCCAGCACCACGCCCGGCACCGCCACCCACCCTGGGCCTCAGTCTCGTCGCCCGGGGGGGTCGGCCTGGGCGCGTTGGGGGCCCACGTGGCCCTGCGTCCTGCCTCTGGGTGAGGAGTCCGAGGGCTGGCCCGAAGGTCCTTTCAAGTCCTGTTTTCTCTTTGTCATTGTGAACCAGAAAATGACAGATGGCGAGACCTGGACAGGAAGTGCCCCCTTCAGATCGACCAGCCGAGCGCCAGCATCTGGGAGTGCCTGCCCGAGAAGTGCCAGGACGGCGCCCTGTGGCCCCGGGAGGCCACCACCGCCTGCGCGGTCACCAGCCTGATCAAGGACCTCAGCCTCAGTGACCACAACGGGAACCCCTCAGCGCCCCCCAGCAAGCGCCAGTGCCGCTCGCTGTCCTTCTCTGACGAAATGTCCAGCTGCCGGACATCATGGAGACCCCTGGGGTCCAAAGTCTGGACTCCTGTGGAGAAGCGGCGCTGCTACAGTGGGGGCAGCGTCCAGCGCTACTCCAGCGGCGTCAGCACCATGCAGAGGAGCTCCAGCTTCAGCCTCCCCTCCCGCGCCAGCGCGCTCTCCTCGCCCTGCGACCCGGCCGGCCCCCGCCAGCGCCTCGGAGGCCAGTCCTGCCCCGGGGCCCCCGGCTCGGCCTCCTGTGGACAGACGGGCGACCCGTGGAGCCCCGACCCGGCCCCCGTGGCCGCAGGCCGGCTCGACATGCAGCGGTCCCTGTCCTGCTCGCACGAGCAGTTCTCCTTCGCCGAGGACTGCCCGCCCTCGGCCAGCAGCACCCCCGCCTCCACGCCCGAGCTGGCGCGGCGCCCCAGCGGGCTCTCCCGCAGCCGCTCCCAGCCGTGCGTCCTCAACGACAAGAAGGTGGGCGTCAAGCGGCGGCGGCCCGAAGAGCTGCAGGAGCAGAGGCCCTCGCTGGACCTGGCCAAGATGGCTCAGGTAAGGGCGGCCCCGGCCGGCGGCTTCTGAAGTGCCAGGAGGGGTTGATCCCCTGGTTCCAAAATCTGGCTCAGAGGCGTTATTTCAGAGTGTTTTTAAGATGTGCTTATTTGTGCCTACGGAGCTGGGGTACAGGCCAGAGGCGCAGGGGCGCTGAGAGGCTTCCCCAGAGACAGAGGGGAGCAGAACAGGCGGGCCGAGGAAGCGCACTGCCGGGGGGACTGGCGGGGAGACGGGAGGGCTGCTGCGCCCTGGGGGTCCCCTCCGGGGCCGGGCTCGAACTCGCACTGTGGCCAGCCCGTCGCGCCCCCAGGGAGGGACTGTTTCAGAGTGTTCAGAAAGTGTCCTCTGCCCTGGACATCAGAAACGCTCCTTCTGTGGCAGCTGGTGCCGCTGGTCCAGGAGCGGACGGGTGGTGAGGTTGGGTGGCCCCGACCCCGGGACGGCAGTCCCTCGCCAGCGGCCTCTGTCCCCGCCTCGTCCCTGTGGCCAGCGTGCGCCGTTTCTCGGCCCATTATTCACTGTTGCTGGGGTGACGCCGGCCCGAGCTCGGACCGTGGGCAGTGGTTCCCGAGGCGGGGGGGGGTCCCCTTTGCTGCCGAGTCAGCTGTGGAAATGTGGACACACACAGCTGCCAGGACACCGTCGCGGTCGCTGCCCCTGCTGGTCCTCGTGGTTTGCTGTCCGCCTCGGGCCCTGCCACTCACGTTGTGGCCTCCTGGCCGAGAGCCCGGTCTCGGCTAGCGCTGGTCCAGGCTGTGGCTCCAGCGGGAGGAGTGTGGCCCAGGGCTCCGTCACAGGGGCGTTTCCAGGCCAGAGCTCTGCCGGTGCGGGGTCGCCCCGGCGAGGGCGGCCCCCGAGGGAGGGCAGGCCTCTGCACCCTGAGTCCAGGTGCCCTCAGGAATTCGGTGCATCTTGGTAGGCGAGCTCTGGTGTTGCTGGGCCCGCCGGGCTGGGCGCCGTTTGGGAGTGAGGGGTCGGCCCTGCCCACACA